AGAAGCTAGGCACAGTTGCAGAATTTACAACAATATTAGCTCTCTAAGGAAACCACACAAACAAAAATCCTGTTTAAAACATAGATTCTCCTATTCCCTCTGGAACAACCGCCATCTCAGGTTACAAAGCAATAATTACCCTGTCCTGTAGAAATCAATAAAACCTCTTGCCCCGTGAACCTGCTATTTCCTGACTTTGTTCTCAGGACTAAAGATTTTCAAGTCATATTGATTACAAAGTAAATTTTTTCAAGTTCTTTTCAAGAACAGCACTGAAGAAATCCTCACGCCAACATCACTCGTCATTGTTTGAAAAGCCTTCAGGTCTCTCCATCACATTAATGGTTGCCCTTTTCCAGGGCTTTCCCATTTTTCATTTTGATCTTGTCATTTTAAGAGTATCTCTGTCCTGGCTAAAAGCGCAGAGTCTGCAAGATACAAACTGGAGGATGTGCCAATTGCCACGTTTTCCTTCCAAGTAGGAGAGAGGAGTTAATGAACCTACTGTGTCCCCTGTCTGGAGCGATGGCATGGATTTTCCTAAATGAATCCATGGGTGATGAGAGCACTCACATCCAGTACTCTGGAACGTCACGGAGCTGCTGTATAAAGTGCAACCATCGGGTTGGAGAGAGCTCAGTCAGCCAAGTACGAGAGCCTGACTTCAATCCTCAGCACTCATGTAGGAAACCAGGCATTGTGGCATGCCTTTGTAATCCCAGACCTGAGGAGGCAGAGAAAGGCACATCGCTGGGTCTTGGCCAGCGGGTGTCGTTGGCGAGCCCCAGATCCCAATGAGAGATCTTGCCTTTTTTGTTGTTTGTTTTTTTTTGGTCTTTTTGAGACAGGGTCTCCCTGTAGCCCCAGCTGACCTGGAACTCACTGTGTAGACCAGGCCGACCTTGAACTCACAGAGATCTGCCTGCCTCTGCCTCTGCCTCCCCAGTGCCAGGATTAAAGGTGTGCACCTCCACGACCAACCAGAGACCTTGTCTTAAAAACAAGGTGGATGGCTCGAGGTTGATCTGTTCCCATATACACATGTGTGTGTGTGTGTGTGTGCGCGCACACACACACACACAAATAAATAAATAAAATAAATTAAACACTAAAACTTTCCAAGGGCATTTATCTACTGGTGCTGGATTTTAAGAATCACAAAGGATGAGAGGCATTATTAACAAGGACAGATTTGAGGATGCACCAAGGGGCCACCCTAACTCTCAGGCCCTCTCTTAATGGCCCCCTCTGGACTCCAAGTCTCTCAGAGCCCACAAGCATATATACACCCCTCCCTGAATTAGCTCACATCTGCCTGTCCGGTCCTAAGTGAGTGGGGCATTACCTACTTGGTATGAGCTGAGTGGCAGAGGTTGTCTCTAATCTTTAACTAGGACTGATATTTTCCCAATATCCCATCAGCACTGTTCATCTATAACACTAATTTATGTTATGCCCGATCAGAAATCACAGGAGATTAAATAATAGAACATCAATGGCTATCACCTCACCTCAGTGGCAGCTTTAATTCTAAGCAAGTTCTACAAAGTCATTTGTGCCTGTTAGGTGAGGTGTGGGGTTAAGTGAAGCGAGCATTTCCCAAGGCTTAGCAGATCGCATCTCACCCAGAGTTCATCTCCATTCCCTGTGATTCGTTTCATGGAACTCCACTGGGTGCTAAGACTGGGCCTGACCCATCCAACCGCGGCCGGCTCACTTTCTCCTAAAAATGCACACCTCAAGGGAAACACTGGAAATTACACATAATGACACATAGTGCTGCAGGGAAAGACTCAGGCAACTGGCTTGGTGGTATGGACTTGCCCTGGGAAAACATGAACAAATATCTATTCACTCCGGATAGATAGGGCGTCGACAACAGACCAAACAAGGGACACTGCCCAAGTCTAGCTGCGTTAACCAAAGAACTTACTGAGGTTACTGACAGGAGCATGGGTAGCCCAGAAGCAGCTGCATCCCTGAAAAGCTCACCGCACATGTGTGACAGCTCCCCAAAACTACTTCCTTGGAGCTCCAGATACTACTAACAAATCTCTCGTCCCCAGCAATCGTTCATTGCTTTTATAGCCTGGGAAGGCGCTGTGTGAATCATTGAGCTTCCTGATCCTTGCATGTTTCAGGAAGTTCCTGTCTAGTCTATGAGCCTGGCTTCTATTCAGCATCCAATGTTTCAAGTCAGAGGAACTAGCCACACAGTAGCTAGCTGGATATGTAGCTCAGTGCTGAGTGTGACGTACTTCTTGCCTGTATTAACAATGATGACTGCACTACGGTATCCACAGCACTCTATATATTGTGAAATAATAGTAACAATGTAATAAACATTATTTCTATCTGAAATTGAAATTTAAAAATAAAAAAAAAAAGGTCATTCCAGAACTGACGGTAAGATAGGTACCAAACCTTGTAAATACAGTAAAAAATCAAAGACTTAGGTTTCATCTCCAGTTCTACTCACATAAATTAATTAATTAATTAAATTTTTAAATGAAAAAAAATACTTTTGAGATGTGATCAACACCACGGCTTAGAGTCTTGTGAGCACAGACCAGTTCTGACCTCAGAGTCCAGTGGAGATTGGGGGAGGCGGTAAGTATCTAGGCATGGAACAGAACAGACACAGATTTGAAAAGAGCCCTTTTTCCTTTCTCTTCTGAGACAATAAAGGGTCAAGATGTCAGCTAAGGCCAAGGCAATGGATTCAACCCTGACAAAAGTCACATAAAGGCAACTCCTAAGCTCCAGCCAATTTTATGACCCCTCTTTAGCAAGCCATCATTTACACATAACAAAAGGGGAAAAAAACCACAGACTATTCTCCCCAATCTGAAAAATCATACCCTTCAAAAAAGAAGATAAAATTCAAATACTCTGAAAGGCAAAGGCAACTATTCAGCTACTTGGATCATGGCAACCTCTAATCCCAAAAACATCACTTCGAAAGAAAACCAGGCAGCTAGATACAAGAGAGTCGTGAGTATGCGAAAGTCAGGTCAGGCACCACTGCAGCCATAGCCACACAATAAACACAGGGATCTGGCAGAGTCAAAGACTTGGCAGAACTCAGCTTCCTCGTCCAGTCCCATAGCAGCTTCTTTAAAGCCTTTGACTATGAGGACCATTCCTTCCCAGCAGGAGCTCCCAACCTCAACACCCCTGACAGGCTGAGCCTGATAAATTCTTAGTTGTGGAGATGTCTTTTGCATTGGACCTCTCTAGTTTGGTCCCACTAGGTGTCAGTTACATTTCCCTCCCATTAGGACCAAAAAAATCAATACTTCCGGACACTGACAGACATCCCCTGGGTGAGAAAGATGCACCTGTGGAAAGCCATTGTTTTGAGGCAACTAAACTGATCTCATCTCATTGCTTTGAGTGATGTCATTTCTCCTCATCAGTTTAGCTTTCTGTGTGTTTCATATCCATACAGTTTCCCCATAAAAGACACATTAAAAACTAAGCAGGGGGCTAGGGATGTGGCTCAATTGGTAGAGTGTTTGCCTAGAATGCACAAGGCACTGGGTTCGGACTCTGGCACTGCAAGAACCAGGTGTGATAGTGAATGCCTGTAATCCCAGCATTCAGGAGGAGGAGGCAAGAGGATCAGAAGTTCAAGGCCATCCTCAGCCACACAGTGAGTTTGGGTGAGTTACATGAGACCTTGGAAGGGAGGGATAAGGGAGGGAAGGAGAGAAGGAGGGAGGGAAGGAGGGAGGGAGGGAAAGAAGGAAAGGAAGGAAGGAGCTGGAGAAATGGTTCAAAGGTTAAGAGTACTGGCTGTTCTTATAGAGGACCCAAGTTCAGTTCCCAGCACCCACATAGTGGCTAACAAGTGTCTGTAACTCCAATTCCCAGGGATCTGATACCCTCTTCTCACCTCCGCAGGCTTTGTATGCATGTGATGCACTTATATACATGCAGGCAAAACACTCATACACCAAAAAAATATTCTTAAATTAATTTTTTAAAGAAAGAGGGGAGAGAGGAAGAGAGAGGCAAGGAAAGAAGGGAGAGAAAAGGAAAAAAGAGATGAAAATGGACAAATAAGCACAAAGTAAGTAAATCTGTGTAAGGGGCTGGAGAGATGGCGGGGGGGTTAGGAGAGTGTACTGGTCTTGCAAAGGACCCAAGTTAGGTTCCAGGCACCCACACCGGACAGGTCACAACTGCCTGTATCTCCAGCTCCAGATGATCTGACACCCTCTACTGACCTCTGTGGTCACCTGTACCCACATGCACATATCCATACACAGACACAAAGACACAGACACACAGACACACGCACACATACATAATTAAAAATAAAACTTTTTTTTTTTTTAAGATGACTGGGTAGGGGCTGGAGAGATGGCTCAGCGGTTAAGAGCACTGACTGCTCTTGCAGAGGATCTGGGTTCAATTCCCAGCACTCACATGGCGGCTATGAACTGTCCTTAACTCCAGTTCCAGGAGAATCCAGAGCCCTCTTCTGACCTCCATGGCATTGCACCACACGGGTGCACTCACATACATGCAGACAATACACTCAGACACATAAAATAAAAATAATAAATAAAATATTTTTTAAAAGAAGACTGTGTAAGAGGTTCTATCATTCTGTCCAAAATGTCAATTCCCTAAAACGGAAGAAAAACAGAATATCCAATCACCAAAGAGAAAATAAAATTCCAACCCCCAGCATCCCTTCCACCTTCCTTTCCCACCATCCAAAAGCAACCCGAGGATTAGGCTCACTTTTACCTCCAGTACGACACAGTTGGCTGAAGGCCAAGATCAGATCTGATAACGCGAAAATGCACCCACCTTCCCACTTCTCAGGGTCCTTTAGATGATGAGGCCCCAGATGCATCTTTTTAAAGAACTGGGAGACCTTTGCACAAAACCCAACGGGAGCTTTCCGCAAGGCTCTTCCTGCTCCAACAGTAACAACAAACATGAACAATCTCTTGCACATCAAAGCATTCTACATGTGGGCTCACCATCCGGGGGCATCAACACCTTGTTGTTCTGTGTGCACCATCCGACGGGGTGCAGATCTGCTATGACCACATCACACCAGAAGTCAGCCCTGCGGTCTTCCCCATAACCACAGTAACGCAGAAGCAGCAGCTGTCCACAGGTAGTAATGATCGTGGCCACCCAGTAAGTGTCCGGATTGTTCTTATTGGCCACCTCCAACTTCATTCCTGGCTGGAAGTTACTCTGAATACTGATTTCCACCTTGAGGCGTTAAAAAGACAGGAAAACCAGGATTACACTAAATATACAACTCCGAACAACTGAAAGAACTACTTGAACACAGTACACTTTGAAACTGTATTTCTGTTGACCTAAAATAGGCATGTATTTAAAACAAAAAGCATGAGGCTCCAGTGCAACACAAGATTTTCTAGAAGCCACATTTAAAAGAGAAAATGATACAATGAATTTTAGAGCATTTAATTTTCCCCTTTAAATCCAACATACTCTCATTTCACAATAGAGTTAATATTACAAAATGTGATTGAGCCAGATGTGGTAGTACACACTTGTAATCCCAGAACTCTCTCAGCTAAGGCAGGAAGGAAGATCTTAAGTTTGAGGTCAGCTGGGCTATATAACTAGACCCAGTCTCAAAAATATCAAGGAAAAAAAGTAAGTAAGGGCTAAACATGTAGCTGAGTTGGTAAAGTGCCTATCCAGCATGTAGGATGCCTGGGTTCAATCCCTAACACCACATTAAAAGGGGATGGGAGGCATACATCTAACCTTAGCATTCATAAAGTGGAACGCAGTAGTATCAGAAATTCAAAGTCATCCTTGGCTTCGCAGTAAGTCTGGGGCCAGCCTGGACTAAATGAGACCCTGTCTCAAGAGAAGAAGTGAGTAAACTAGTCTTTTTGAACAAAGCCTTCCAAACTGGATAGTGTCTTCTCATGTCTGGCAAATCTGGGCTACACACTTCAAGTATTCGATTATCTTGTATGTCAGGAGCTACGGCAAGGATGAGAAGAAGCTTTCCAGCTTGGGGGGTCTTAGCCTCCCAAAGCTGACGTGTGTAAGGTCCACCATCAACAGGTGCTTGAAGATGGCAAATGAACCATGATTCTCATCTATGAATCTGAGGCTACTTTTCCTTAAACCTCAAACACAAGCCTAGGGCACTCGATATCCTGAAAGGTGCCAGCATCACACTCCAGGAATACAGGCATCCTGATAAAATGACAGCCTGTTCATCAAAGCCGTCACTATATGGGCTTCACTATTCAGTGAAATCTCCTTCAACTTGGGGTGACACCCTCCCGAAGAGATAAATGACTTGACTGTACAGAAAAGAGTGAGAAAGTTCTCAGCCAATTCTTCCAAACTGCCTTAAGGAATTTGCCAGATCTTCTCTGTATCTTGTCACTAGGCTTCTGCAGAACGATCACCCTAGCTGTATGAGCCAGAAAAGCTTTGCTCTTGTGGTTTAAAATTTAGCCCTGGGTTTCACTGCATGGACACAATCCCACTTAGAATAAACTCTAATCTGATAAGTACACAAAGGGAAAGCGGAACGCAATCTTACAAATTTAGTAAGGTCTTAAATTCCCTTCCAAAGAACATCTCACTTCCTAGTAGAACTTAATGTGTTTTCAGAATAAAGACTCAAAGTTCCGGCTTTGTTGTTTGGCCAAGGAGCCAAAAGGAAGTTTAGGAAGGTTGAAATGTTGCCTTCGGTAACCTAATGAAAAAAGAGATGGCTCACAAGCACATTCTTATTTATAAAAACGATAGTCATGCCTAAAAGCTTGGGCTTAGAGGAGGTAATCTTTTCTCTGCTTAAGAAATGGAACGAGTATCTCACACCTAAGAAAAATCTGGTAGGAACTCATTTTCTTTTGACTGTTCTAGGACTGACTTGCCCTCTGTAGGCATGCTAGATGAAATATATAAAGAAATATCATTAATGAGAATGATCTTTGTTAGATCTACATTTCTGGAATATTTATAATGAGTTGCTTCATTTGTTCTACCTCCCCATTAATAGCTATGAAACTCTAAACTGCCTTTTCAAAATCAAAATATCAGCTATTTCTCTTTTTAAAGACAGGGTCTCATTGTAACACAGGCTGGCCTGGAGCTGTATAACCCAAGGATAACCTTAAATGTCTAATCCTCCTGCCTCTACCTTGCCAGGGCTGGAATTATTCGAATGTCCTACCACACCCAGTTCTATGTGGTGGTGATGGGGATCAAACTTAGTGTTTCATGCATGCTAGTCAAGTACTCTATCAACTGAGCTAAGTCTCCAGCCCAAAATATCATATATATATATATATATATGTATACCTTGCACATTATATATATATGTGTGTGTGTGTGTATGTACATATGTATATGTATATCTTGCACATCTCTTTATTCCTGGTTCTTGGGCTTCACTTTCCAGATCCCTTCCCACCCACAGAGCAGAAGAGATAAGCCATTGAACATACATGTCTGAAGGATGAGTGTGGTGCTGCCCTTGTGCCCGTTTCTTCCAAATAGTCTCCCCAGCTAAAGCCCATTTCCTCCAGGCTTGAACCGTCCTCTGTGGAAACAAAGCAAAACAGGAGCATATCAAAACCAAAGCAAAACATGGACAGGCACTCTCCTGCAACGGAACCCAGAAAATCTTTAATGGGAGGCAAAACAAACTAACTTATTGGTTTCGGAGGATATGGCTGAGTTCTTTGAAAAACTTCAGTTTGCTGATTATGGAAATGTTGAGTTTTTAAAAAGGAAAAAAGGCTGGGAGATAGCTGTTAGTAAAGTCCTTGTAAAACAAGGATGAAGACCTGAGTTCAGATCTGCAGAGCCCATGTAAAAAGTCATGTTGGGTGGCACACTTCTGAAACGAAAATTCAGGGTACGGAGAGATAAGAGGATCCCTGGGACTCACTGTTCAGTCAGTCTACCCAAACCAGTGAATTCCAGGTTCAGTGAGGAGAGATCCTGCCTCAAAAAATAAGCTGGTGAGAGATGCAGGAAGACACCCAACATTGATACCCGGCTTCCACATCCATGTTCATACACAGACACACAGACAAACACACACCAGGGGAAACAGTGGGGAGACACAGCTTTGACACTCTGTCAATGTGAAAAGCAACATCCATGCTTTCAGACTAATGAATAAGAATTATCTCAAGTCCAACCAGCTGCACACTCAGATCAGCTTGACATTAGCCATGGTAGACACCCCAATCTTTGGGATGGGTGGAGGACAAGGAGAGGGACACTTCACGCACTGAGTGTGTGCCACGATATATACAGGGATCAAAATATCTACTTGCTGAGGCTAGAACCTAGAACATAACACAGCCTTTAACAAAACAGTGACTTCAGGAACATTTTAAAGAAAATAAATTGGGCTGGAGAGATGGCTCAGTGGCCTGCTGCTCTTGCAAAGGACCTGAGTTCAGTTCCTAATACCCACATCAAGAGCCTGACAACCGCCTGTAACTCCAGCTACAGGGAACCAACACTTTCCTATGGTCTCTGCAGATACCCACATGAACATCGCATACTAACACAGAGATAGGTACATACACATAGATAAAAACAAATAAATATAGAAATACAGAAGGATTACTTGAGTAATATGAGGCCATGCAGCAAGTTAGTGACAGATACAGACCAATTACCTAAGACCCTTGATGCCTCCCAATTCAGGGCCCCTGCCAGGAAAGAGCTATCAGGGCCACGCATACCAGAAGCTGAAAGAATGTTTGTTTCTCCAACTATAAGGGAAAGACAGTTACAATTAAACACGCATCGTGGCCCTTAAAATCCTAACTATTTGGGCTGGCAAAATAACTCAGCGTGAAAAGATGCTTGCCACACCAAGCCTGAAGACTTGGGTTCGAGCCCTGGAACACATGTGTCGGAAGGAAAGAACTGACACTCACAAGCTGTCCTTTGACCTCCACAAGCAGACTGGGACATGTATGATCCCTTATACATACAAACAAAATATAGTTAAAAATGTTATTTAAATGGGAGGGGGAGGGAGGGTTATACAAGGAACCTTGGGGATAAAGGGAAAGAAGGAGCTCAAGACAGATGGGCCCATAGGGAGAAATGGGAAAAATGGGGGCATTTTAAATGGGGAAACCATGGTGGAAGGGTTAGACAGTGAGAGAGATAAATGAAGCCTAGCCAGTTTTAAAAAACCAGAGGGAAGCAAATTAGTCCAACAACCTACTGACAAATTAAACATACAACTATTCAAGGAATAAAATATATGTCTAGTCAAGGTTTATTTGAGAACGTTTGGTCTTTGCCCAAGCTTTATCTACATAGCACATGGTAATTAAAAGTAGCAGACTGGTGGAACTAACCTTCTTGGATGTTTAACAGCCATACTTTGAGGCCTATACTAATCTGGTCAAAGGGACTTAAAGGACAGTTTTTGCTCCTTGCCCTCCAAGGTCGACTAAGTTCCAGGGGACTATGGAACATCTCTCAAAATGTTCTATAACTGTGGTGAGTCACCTGTCCTCCTGTTCAGGGAGGCCATGGAGACCTCACCAGATGAACCTGAACCAGTCAGTGTCCAGTCTACAAAGAGGAGAGTCAACACAGAGTAAATATTTCCTCCATGCTTCCAAGTGAAGCCAGCCACAGTTGAGCAGGACCTTTGACTTATCTTCACATAGATGGAACTTGTAAAAGAAAAGAGCCAGGGGCTCCTCCCAAGCCCATGTGACCCTTGAGGAACAGATCCTCAAATGACCTTAAGAGTAAAAATAAATCGGTTTATTTGGGCCAACTGTATGCTCTCAAACACCCAAAAGGAAAGAATAACCAAAGATTAAAGTGATCAGTATATTTCTTTAAGAGTCCATGTGTATAGCTAAAGGCTACATGATAAGAAACAGTGCCAGACAGGAGATACCTTCCCTTGAGCTGTTGGCCAGGGTGGTCCAAGAGACTCCCAAAATCACAAAGGCTATTTCCACAGCCCTTGATGGCCTCCCAAAACTTGAGGGTAAGTAAGACCCTACTGCCAAAGACAGAACATACGTCAGACACAGGATTTGGAGAAACAGAGCTGCAACTGACCTGGAAGCCACTTCCTCTGAAGGCAAGCTCTCATAGCTTTGGAGAATGCTATGAAAGTCCCAAGGGAAAACATCAATGGATGATCCAGCACCAGCTTCGAGACCAAATAACCACATCGATGGCCAGCACAGCACACTCCCTTGGTGCAGTAGTGGCACTTTTGTCTTGGAGGCAATCAACAGCTACCTAATTTGACTAAAAGCCCACTCAAAGGGAGGAAACTCAAGTGTGGTACTGCAGCATAAGTTAATACACATGGCTGGAGTGGCCACAGATCTTAGAGAAAACCACAAAACTATCACATCACTAGACTAATGTGATTTCTTACTATGTGCAAAATACGTACCCTTATATTTACAGACAAATATCCCAGTCACCACTCATCAAAGAAGCTCATTTTGCAGCAGTCAGAGACTAAAACCAAGCACCACAACTGGTCACACACGGACATTGTCTATGAACTGCCCAGGCCTAAGGGCCATATCTACAATGAGACCTCTACACCTAAGGCTCATGGAACACAGAACAGGGATAAAGAAGAGGACACTAAGGATCAGTTCTCAATAATGAAGCTCCTCATGCAGCAGAGGGCCAGGAACACAAAAGGTCACAAATGGCCAAAGTGTAGAGATCAAGAGTCTGCTAAATAATGGTCCTTGGACAGGATCCCTTCATTAAACTTCATCCACCCAAGGCTCAGGGACCATCATGGAAGGGGGAGTGGAGAGATCGTAAGAGACAGGGAGGATGGGCATGACCATATGCAAACAGAGTCCTACAAGCTCCTGGGAACCTGCTCATATGATTCTATGGCAACGGTGTCAGCATACACAAGTTCCATGCAAACTCAGGCAGACAGTAACTGAGCATAGAACTGGGAAAATGAAAAAGAGACCCCAATTTTATCTAAAGGCATGTTGGCAACTGATTACTGCTTGATGAAGAAGAGCTGATCTTCCTAAAACAATGGACTCTATTAGGCTGACTAAACTCGGTGGATGGACAAGCACTGGGGAATGGCTGCGGGCACTGACAACACAGCGGGCAGTTACAGGGAGGACAGAGTACATGGGATCTAGTCGGGGGGGCTATGGAAGGGTGCCATTTGCGATGGGGGTATAAAGGTGATTATGATTCTTTGGGATGTTCTTTATGAAATATACAAAAAATCAATTAAAAAAAAGAAATCATAACTATTCTAAATTTACATAGTCCTGAGAACCTGGGCTCAGAAAAGCAGGTCCCAAAACAGTGTAGACTTGAGAAGCACAAAATAATAGACTTTAAGACAAAAACGGTATGAATGTTAAATTACAGCCTCAAATGGTGAGAAGTAAGCAGGTTGTGATGCTGTATTGGTTGTCAACATGACTATCTGGATCGTTTGGGAGACAGGGTAGCTGTGAAGGTGTTTCTAGATTGGGTTAACAGAGGCAGGAAGATCCTACCCTAAATGTGGATGATATCATTCCATGAACTAGGGTCCTGGACTGAATAAAAAGGAGATAGCTAGCTGAGCACCAGACCAGCATTCATACCTCTCTACTTCCTGACTGCAGTATAACCAGCCACCTCAAGCCCCTGCTCCTGACCAGCCATACAAGCACACCTTGAGCCAAAAATCTACTCTTCCTTAAGTTGTTTTCCTTAAGCATTTTTGTCACAGCAACATAAAAAGTAGGTGGGACACGGCTGTATGCATGATTTCAATGTATCTGCAAGGGTCGCATAAAGAATATTCAGTAGAATGCACTGCCCAAATATTTAAAGGAGTGTTTCCAAAGTTTCATTTCTCAGCCGGGTGTGGTAGATCCCCAGGGTTCACTAGCCAGTCAGCCTCACCAATGAGAGGTCCTGTTTCCAAAACCAAGGTCGGTAAGCACAGTAAGACACACTTGCAGTCCCAACTACTTGGGAGGCTGAGGCAGAAGGATCGCCTGAGGTCAGGATTTCTGGGCTTCAGTGTGCTAGAACCAATTGGCTGTCCCAATAAGTTCGGCATCATTATGGTAACTTCTGGGAAATGGGGAAATCACCAGGTTGCCTAAGGGTGGGCGAATCAGCCCAGGTCAGAAAAACAAGGTGGACAGCAACTGAGGAATGACAACCCAAACCCAAGCTGTCCTCTGGCTTCCACACGTACACACAAAGAAAGAAAAAAAAAAGCAGAAAAGTGAATGACTTGAATGATTTGTCCCTTCTTACGAGAAACATTCATTGACCTCAAGCCTGAGACATGAGGCATCATCCCTGGCCACCAGAACCTAGGATTTAATGCCCTGAAGAACCTCATCACAGTCAACAACTCCAATGCTTCAAAGCAAGGGCACTGTGGCCTTGTTCATTTCAACTGTCAATTTGACAGAACTAGAATTATGTGAGGCAATTGTCTCATGGAGGGATTGTCTGTACCAGGCTGTCTGTACAGGCTGTACCTGTGAGCATGTTTGTGGGAAGATAATCTTGATCATGTTAACGGAGGTT